ACTGGAACTAAGAGGCTCAAACCTGTTCCAGCATGACGATGCCCCTGTGCACAAAGCGAGCTCCATGAAGACATGGTGTGTGAAGGTTGGAGTGGAAGAACTCGAGTGTCCTGCACAGAGCCCTGACCTCAACCCCACTGAACACCTTTGGGATGAACTGGAACACCGACTGCACCCCAGACCTCCTCACCAACATCAGTGTCTGACCTCACTAATGCTCCTGTAGCTGAATGAACACAAATCCCCACAGCCTCGCTCCAACATCTAGTGACAAGCCTTCCCAGAAGAGTGGAGCTTATTATAACAGCAAATGGGGAAAAAATCTGGAACAAGATGTTCAAAAAAGCACATACGAGTGTGATGGTCAGGCGTCCACATACATTTGGCCATATAGTACACAATACATACCGATAGCATCCACAAAACTGACATTTTATTCACTCAGGGTTAAGAAGACGGAAGGTACACTTATACACACTTATACCAATAAACCACCCCTGAACACACACACACACACACACACACACACACAGATGTGCAGGCTAGGGGTTGCACCATTTTTTCTCGTCAACCAACAAAAAAGTATTCATCTAGTAGTCTTGTCCTTTTGTCTATAGTTGAAAAAAAGATTCAGGACCTTGTTCTTGGGACTGGACAGTGATACACAACACTAAATGCACTGTTTCACACACCACTGCTCACGACAGAGTGCATTTTACTTAGCTTTAAAGGACAACAGAAACAGCTACGGGAGCAAGCAGGAGCTCAAAGTGATACACTTCATACAAAGTGATACGTAAGCGATAGCATTAAATCAGGAGGAAAAAAAAAAAGACTTTTCCCAGCATAAGCTTGTTAACCATTATCCTAATCAGCTGAGGCGAGACGCTGGCCTGAAATGACTGCAAATACACTAATCAGGTTTTTCATGATTAACGCTGCTCCAAACAGCGGCATGGGAACTCTTGTTTTTCCACTAGTCTAATTCCCCAGAGTTCTCCCCAGATCCCATCCTCAAATGCTTGAATGCTTCAGCATGCAGCATGAAAAATAATTAGTCTGGGACTTCATGGTTGAAAAGTCCTATGTGACGGACATACGAGTTCAACAGAGACTTTCAGAGAAAGGGAAATGCAAGGAAGGCTGCGCGGACTAAAATCGTGAGAGCGTGTACATTCAAGCAAGCTAAACAGAGCCGCATCTCGAGCGGATGTTCTGCCATTTCCATGCTTCCTGTTTAGTGCTTTAAAACGCCTGTAAGATTTTGATTGCTCCGCAACATACACACAGCACCACATGTGATTAAGTCAAAACAGTGCTTCTCTCTTTCCCTTTAATGTCTCGTGCAACGTGTGTTTAGATTCAGTCAGTGGGTTTCACACAATGAGAGAGAGAGAGAGAGAGAGAGAGAGAGAGAGACGAATTTGTTACACTAGACAAATTAAGACAACTTGACAAGTGTGGATATAAAAGAAGACCCAGTTTTACAGACTTTTACTGCTTTTACATATTTACAGTGTCACTGCCGAGTGGGGAGAGAAAGCTAGATGGAGGGCAAAAGAACATGCAGCTTCAACAGACTTCAAGACTCCAAGGACTCCAAAGTGTGTGTGTGTGTGTGTGTGTGTGTGTGTGTTGTAGTAGTAGTAGTAATAGTACGTGTGGGTGGGCAATATCAAAAATATCATATCATGATTATTGAAGACATTTCAGCAATGCATAATATGCATCATGATGTACAGTTAACACACTGGCGTTGCATTTAAAAACATGAAAAACCGATACATTTTAATAACTTAATATCCTACAAAAAGATTAAAAATGTAAATAAGGGAACATTTCAACATCAATTGCTTGTAATCAGAATATAAAATGAATGACGATATCTCAGAAAAGTGTACTGTGACATAATTTCTCACAATATCAGTCACATCATATCGCCCAGTCGTAGTGCATAGACTATTCATTGTGGAGGTGGGAATATCTTTCACAAGGGCATGAGTGGGTCACTCAGTGTTCTTGTCTGAGTGGTGTGTGTGTGTGTGTGTGTGTGTGTGTGTGTGTGTGTGTGTGTGTGTGCGAGAAGCACAGAGCGAGTGGCCTTTACTTCTGACAACAGCCGTTTGTGCTGCCTGAAGAATGTTTTCCATCCTCTCACTGCAAATCCCTCCTAGAACGAAGGACACATCCACGACTCTTTTCCATGCTTATCCCCCCCTCACAAAAAAAAAAGCTCCAAGTACCAGTTCTAAAGAGAAGAAGAGAAAAAAAGTACCAGTGGGGGAAAAGACAGAGAAAATGAATGAGAGACTTTGGAGAGAAGAGATGGAAAATTAGGAGAGTGTAGTCCTATATTTAATCTTTGTTGCTGGGCAACAAGAAAATAACATGGCAGAGAGGAATGGACAATAAAGAAAAGTGGGGGACAAAGTACCAACATAAAGTACTACACACACACACACACACACACACACACACACACACACACACACACACACACACACACACACACACGTATAAATAAACAACCAAAGATGAACTCCCAGTCACCAACATGTACACAACTATATTAGCCCTGCGACAAATATTCAGTAAATTGCATAATTCAACTCATAATCAATAACTGATACAGTTACCACAGACAAAACGTTTGTACAGACTAAATATGGTAACATGTCGCTGCCAGCCAGTGTGTTCTACTTCCTTCATGCAGTGGCATGCCAGTAAAATCGTTTCCTCATAGCACCCAGAATGTTTTCATCTCCTCCTACGTTCATTATAACCACACAGATTCATCATCCAACTGAGAACATAAAACAAACCCAATACAGCCGCTCCAAAAACCTGCAGCTGCTGAAACGTCTCGCTATCGAAAAATGAGAGGCCGTGCCTGAGCATGAGCAGCCTCGCTTTCAAGCGTTTCTCCCCTCAGGTACGGCTGTGCAGTGACTCGACAGTGACACAAGCGATTGTTTTGGCTCTGGTGCTGCAGCACGCTGGGTTTTAGGATGAAATGGTGACTGATGTTAAAGTGCAGACTATCAGCTTTAATTTGAGGGTATTTATGGCAAAGCACATTGTACAAATTATAGCCCTTTTTGTGCACAGCCCTCCAATTTTGGAAGGCCAGAAGTAACTGGACGATTTTTAGACTAGTTGTGTCTCTGATTCAGCAGTTCATGCGGCAAAAAGCTCATAAAAGGACTGGAGTTGGTTCCAGATGTGGCATTTGCATCTGGGGCCTGTTAGTCGTCTATGAGAAGTGCCAATATAAATACAAGAGGTCACCAAGAGGATTTAAAATACTTTATAACACACACACACACATACACATATATATATACACACACACACACACACACACACACACACACATATATATATACACACACACACACACACACACACACACACACACACACACACACACACACACTATATGGCCAAACGTTTGTGGACAACTGACCATC